TATATATATATATATATAATTTTCATATACTTACTGTATATAATCTTCATTTGTATATTTATTTCTAAATTCATCGACATATTTTAAGGAATTTTATTCTTCCAAATATCTGACGGTTTCAACGTCCATTATTTTATAGCACCGACGTCTTTACAAATTAGTATAGATGGAAAAGGAAACATCGCAGCGAGTAACAATTAACTATCGCGTTAATAGTACCACACATCTAGAGAGAATTACCAAACTATCTAGATGCTATGACTATCTAGATAACTAAATATTTCGGTATTGACTACCAGAAACGTCAAGGCATCGTAATCAGAATATTGGATATGTGAACCAAATATCACATATAACTTTCACCATATTACTTTCATAAGACGAGTATAGTGTTATTCACCAAGTCATTTCTCTCAGTGTATGACATGTTGTTTATGCGTTTCGTTGACAGGCGCGCGTAGCTTTGCGCGATCTTAGCAAGCCTTAGCGAAATACTCACTTGTGCACTTTCTCTCTTATGAAGTTTACGTCGCAGGTGTGAAATTGCTTTATTGTCGCGCAGCAATAGAATTTTATGTTAACGAGCAAGATAAATGCTAGCGATACTTATGCATGACAAGTTGATAAGACACAGTGCAAGTGTGCAGGAAGATCGATGGATCTTTCGTGAAACGTATCCTTGCGTCGGAAAATGACACTGAAAGATAGCATTCACCGTATGCTCTTTTCACCCGCATGAAGAAACGTTGACCCAGCAAAGAACGAAGGTAGCGTGAAGGAGCGTATGCGAAACAGATCGATAAAGCACGAGCTGGATGTACCGGAGAGATGACGACACGTCGTAATTGAAATAATATCGGATTGAATATCGGATTGAACAGAAACGAGCCGTGAAACTCGCAGTTATGTCCGTAGACCTGCAGAATAGACTATGCGCTCTTACGGGGCGACTGATGGCAAGATTTAAGGACAGAGATATGCTAAGTCAAATACTTTCTCTGTCACACACTACGGCACTCTAAGAGGAGGCGCCGTAGAAGAAACAAAAGAGAGAGTGACACATAGACCTTTATTTTGAACTCTTTTTCATTGATGCAAGTGGCTCTAAATAAATCAATCAGAAGGCTTAGAAGTCACATTTGCTGGCACTTTTATCGATATAATTTAGAATAAGGGTCATAGTAAAAGAAAGAAAGGACGCATTTTAGTCACGTATTCGCTTCTTTTTCTTCGTCCTCTTTATCAAATACACACAATTAGACAAAAAATCTGTTTTTTCTCGCTAAACTAATGTACACTTACAAAATGAAAATGAAAAAATAAAAAAAAGTAGATATATAGTTGAAATTTGGTGGAGAAAAAAGGAAAAGAGGATTAGTGCAAGCTAGTGCAGGCAGTACGGCAAAAAAGAACGGACTAACTGAAAGTATCTTACACTCTATTAACCTCTCTTGCTAATGCTGATTTTATCCCTCGTACAGCAATGTGCAATCTATTCTACATGTCCGTGGCAGTTGTCATTAGATGGGAAAAACGAACGACGACCACTCGAATGGAACTCGTTGCAAACGCGTCGCATGCCTGCACTCAGTCTTTGCGTTTTCCTCCCTCGATTGTTATTCCACGCCACCCTTTTACGATGTTCGTAGGAAAGCCCATCAAACATTTTTCTTTCTTCATTCTTGCTTTGTTTTTTCTTTTTTATAGCTTCGCAGAACGATTTCGAGTCACGCTAGGAGCCATAGCGAGGGGAATGCACGATGCTCCGCGATATGAAATCAGGTCGATAATGTAAAGGCTCTTTAAAATGCAGGTTTGTTTCCGCCATAATAATAAAAAGTTTGTTCGTCGCGGCGAGAGCGAGCGAGAAAACGAGTAACTTCCCTCCTCCTCTCTCAATTGCAAAAATGGTCGGTTCAAAACTATGCGGAATTCATATGGCGAACAGTCGCTTCGAAGGAGAAGGTCTTTCCCTCTTGTTAGGGCGAAATCAGGCGATCCCTTGCGCGATTCGCGTCGCCCGCTTGGACGAGCGCGATCTGCCGGTCGAGCGGGCCAATTTTCAGCGAGAGACCCTGAGCGAATAATCGACTCATTAGTCGTACACATGTCTTCACCTTTCTTTTTTTTTCCCCCCGTGGAACGTCGCAATCTGCTAAACGAGAGCTGCGAGCTTTAAATGCAATTCCATTCTGGCGGTGCTCCAAATCGTTCGACGGAGAAGAAGTCCGCAATGGTGAGTGCGAGGATAGCCGAGTGCGCGGTCAACACCGACACGGAGTATCTCGTCCTTTCGCGAGGAATGCTTTAATTAAATTGAAATTAAGTCGGAGCTGCAAGAGTTGAGAAGATATCCGCAACTCCGCTGTGACATACCGCGCGTCCGTGAGTTCACGAATTCTGACATTTAAATAATGTTCACGGTCGGCTCCAGAAGTTTTGAAGAGCTCCCCAGCGCTTCCCAAGACGAGCAATCTCCGCGAAAAGCTGTAGTAAATCATATCGGACGTCCGCGTTGGCAGAAAATTCTCCGTCTGGCTTGCACAAATTTTTCCACGATGCATTTTCCATGATTTAATCTAATAACTGCGCGAAACATGTTGCCCGTTACGTATTCAGCAATAAAATACCGTGAACCACGCACGATCCCTGGCACGATTAGAAGTTTCATTCCATTCCACTCTTTTCCCACAAATAATTCGTGACCGCCTTGCAAAATTAATACGTTCACGAACACCCGTACGGGTTGCTCCGCTGCAATATATCGCATGCCGATTCTCTCACGGGCATGTCTGTTAAATGGCGATTAAATGTTTCGCAGAGAGAGAGAGAGAGAGAGAGAGAGAGAGAGAGAGAGAGAATAAAGAGTCAGCGAAACGTTTTCAACAATTTACTTAGAATGTTTGAGCCGCGATTGTTAGAGCCGCAAATTAGTCGTGACACAAACGAGTTGATCGAGAACGCCAAAAGGGAATAATCGTTCGTAATATCAGCCGAGAGGTGAACTGATTCGATTCGCATAATTCCGTAAAGAGACACGTTCGTTCGTGACCGTGACTACGAGATTGCGTCTTCCTGTTTGGCCTTGGCATAGTGGCGGTCAATAAAGGAAAGGAAAAACGAGATCGTTTTCCTGGCACGATGCCTGTCCCGAATGAATGAAAAGACCTTTCGTTCGAATGCATTTTGTGTCATCTCAACGATCTTTACGCGCGTTTAATCGCGCATAGAAATATCCCCAAACGATGCGGACGCGCGCGCCACTTCGCCAATTTCTGGTAAATTAATCCTCAGCTAAAGTACGCGCTGGAGCGATGTCAGACCTCAACGCGGATATCACATGAAGTGTTAAGAGAAAACAGAAAATACGCAACTGAATTTAACTTTGCGAGCTTTTAATAGCTTCATCATTTTACACGTGGCCGTTTCTTTTCTTTTAATTATAAAGGCACCGCACAGAAGAGAAAGGAACGAAGAGAAATCGATAAGAGAAGTAGCGAGTGAGGAAAGGTATGGGAGATAACTTTAGAGATTACACGTAGAGAGACCGCGAGTTCGCCGTGGTAAGAGAGAACCACCTGCCACAAAGTCGGACCTTGGAGTTGTTGCGATCGCTTCAGGTACGCTCGTAAATTGAATCCAACAAGTTCTCTCATTGCGGCCACCCATGTGCAATCCACTACAGTGAAGGAGGATCGTCATTGTTGTCGTAAAATATGCCCGGGAAAGACGCGCGATAAATGTGAGAAGATGAACTATGTAGCAAAGTAATTTTAAAAAGTAAACATCATGGTCTACGAGGACGTTGAGGGACGTACATTTAAAATGACGAAGTGCAATTGAGCGATTGACTTGAGAAATATATGCGGCAGGTAATATACGCCAAGCGTATATTTCATGCATGTCATTTCCGCCACGTCCATCATCGATACATCCTTAGTAACGTCAACCATCTACACACGACGCGACAGCAAACTACCGACCGCCTGGGATGATTTCTCGACCCACCTGTATGCTTCTCATACGGCGGACTTTGAACAAAAGTCGCGCGAATCGTCACACAATCATGGACGACATTCTTTGTAACATCTACGTCAACCTGACATTGAGGATGATCTACATCAATCATTTGCATCCTGAGGACAGTCCATAGAATCTTATGCCATGATAAGCTCACTACATGACTTCGCTATCGATTACATAGAGGAACGACTCACTGGCTGCCTTCGATCGTGCCTAACCGATTCCTCAAAGAGCCATAGAGATTACGTTGCTCTTGTGCGAATCACGATGTCATGATCACCACTTCAAGATCGGGAAGCTGACGAACGCGGATTCTTTCGAGCGCGCAAATCACGATGACGTTCGAGTCACTTGGCAAGATGTACGCGATCGGCCGACTGTCGGCGAGGATCCTACCTGCATGCTCCTGGTCGCATGGCAGAAGATCCTGGCACGATTCTCCGAGGCGTCCGTTTACTTGGTCCAGGATTACGATCGGACTCACGATCAGTCTCCTCGAGGTTCAAACTGCGACTGGATCCGGCCGCGCGCGCGGCAGGACCGTGTGCTTCGCCTCGCGGGGGTTGCCCGTCCAGCAGCCTCGTAGGAAGGGGTGGGAAGCCAGGTGGAAAGGTGCGGCGGGGAGGGTTGTTTTCGCTGTGCCGGTCGAGGGTGAGAGTGGTGGCTCTGTTATCGGCGCGGGACGATGAGTCGCATCGGCAGATGGACTCGCGTCACTCTCAATATTTCAAGATGAATTTTTCGCGGAGGGTCGTGATCCCGCTTTTCTATTCGCTTGATCACGTCGCAGGCTACTTTATTTCGTCGAAATAAAAATGTGAAAATCCGACGGAGGAAAAAAGTAATTATGCTGGAATAATAACTTTAATCGAGACTGCTTTCTGTTGTCGAAAAAGATCAAAGATAAAAATTGCTGTTGGGTCTCTTCGTGTGTAGCATTGAAATTTCAACCGAACAAAGAGAAATACGATTAGTCCAGTTTTATTTTTCCGCCAATTCTGCTCGAACCAGTTATCCTTTCTGCAACTGATGTATAGTTGAACCAATTTGCTTGATTTTTAATTTACGATAACTGTTGCTCTATCTGTCTCTCTTTCTCGCGTTTTGAATTAAATTTTTCCAATTGAACTAATTGTATTTACTTATATAACACAAATAGAGTGATCCATCGACTCTGTCGCATCGACTCTGACGTATCTGTGAGACAAGGATGACATATTTATTTCGATTTTGCATGACTGAATATACAAATGCATTTTCCGATAATCCTCAAACTTTGCCGATTATTCATTGCCGTCGCGTCGCTATAAAACATGTTATATATCGAGTGTATTGATTCTAACTTGAAAAGACGCGCGTATCGAGACGCGTCGAGACAAGCGAAGAGGGGTAGTTGAGCCAAATTTAATGGAAAGTTCGAGGATAAGGGAATGACAGCGTGTCTTTGACCGACCAACCCAAGCTGAAGACGAATAAATATGAACTTTTCAAGTCGTAATGTACGGAATAAAAAAGGGGACGTAGTGCAAAAAATATCGGTGGAATAAAATAAAAATGAGCGGGAACGACGAAGTGAACGGATTTATGAGTGCAAGAGGCACGTAATCGATGGACGAACCAGCAGAAGTTTTTGAAGAAACTGTTAAGACTGGCAAACATCGAGGACTTCAAAAGTTATTTTGGAGCACGTTTGAAAGTGCCTCTAGTATAAGTTCGAGTTTCATGCTCTGATGATATGAAACTGGGAGGTTATTGCACAAAGGGTAAATGTAATTTCGTTTGTTTCAGTCACCGTGTTCTTCCACGTTTTAGCCGTGTTTACGATACGGCAAAAGAATGAGGCGAAACGGCACAGAAGCAAAGCGAATCGTGCAAGAGGAAGTAGTATGAACGGGATAATAGAGTATGCAGGAAAAAAGTAAAGGAAACGCGCACATATGTGTGTGATGCGCGTAGAGTCGAGAGACAGACAGATGTAATTTATTATGTCACGGGAAAAGCTCGTGAGACACGTCGGGTAAAAATATGGAATAATGCACTCGCCGGGACATATATCTGGAGTGCAGAGTGGCATCATTAGTATCGTTGAGCGTGTGATTGTAGGTAGAGAAGCTAATTTGCGTATGTGAAGAACAGAAGAAGAGAATGGAAGGACGGGACAGAAAGGACGAAGAAATGTTTCGTCGCGACGAACGGTCAACAAACGGACGGAACCATTTGGAGAATGTGGCGAGATGAGAGAAAAGAAGAGAGAGAAGCTGAGAGGGAGTACGAAATGAGAGGGAAACTTTTCATCCCGTGCATTGCGTGATTATTACCTCTACTGCGTCCCGCTCAAATAATGAATATGGAATACGGCAAATAACAAATATGACATATCACGAATAAAGGAATAGAAGATAGAAAGAATAGAATGAGTATTGTCGAGGTGTATGGGAACAGAGACATATTTCATTCTCTCATTCTCAGAAATTTGAAGAGCTCCCATGCGATCGTCACACACCCACAGCCGCACGATCGAATACCAAGCTGAGTACAAATTTCCTAGCCTATCGGCTCACCATAATCGATGGTACTCTGGAGGTCGGCAGGCCATCGTAACGCAGATGTATCCGACCGGATGAGCCGTCCGCTATCGGTCTCAGGTGAACGAAGCGGGATGAGTTGCGCACGAGGGACGTGAGTGAGACGAGGACGGGAACGCCACGTGACAGAGGACGAGGACGCGACGCCGGCGCGGCAGGAACCCCGTAGGTCAAGGTCATCGCCACGCAAAGGTGGCAGCAGCCATACGTTACGGCCCTGGAAGCCCGCTCCTAACGCCAGCGGCCAGCGAGCCTCGTACAGGACGATCTTCCAACACCCCTTTGCCCCGCCGCAATCGATATATCCAGCCTCGACAGCTCGACCGGTCTCTCCCGCATGCAGGCAAAACAGGAGTCTCGCGTACAACATTCTGATACACCACGCAATGCGGCTGCAACATAATTCCGCGGTGCACGTTTAGACTCGTATACATAGACTGCGGCTTTTTATGAGAGGTTTGAAGATGAGATTGGAGGGAAAGCTATATTGCTTTTCCATTCTCCACGGATATTCGATCCTTAGACATTTCATTTAGCTTTCTCCAATAGAAGTCAAGCTAAACAAAAGTCGAATGCACCATAGACTTGTAAAATTGATTACGCGCTCTTATGAAATGGCTGATGATTGGGAGGCAGAGAGATGTGCTAAGTCAAATGCATTCCTTGTCACATAGTGATATGACAAGAAATAATGTAGGAGAAATAAAAGAAAGAATGACATATGGTGAAAGAAGAGAGAAATCATATTCGTCATGTGATTATTTCTTCTTCTTTGTTTTGCCCACCAACTAGAAAATTAGACAAGGAAAACATTTTACTCTATAGTGACCTCTCTTGCTAACAATGATTTCATCTCTTTTACAGCAATGTGCAGTCTATTCTATGGCCTTTTGTCTAAGCTCTCTTTTATCAGTAAAAATGCCTTTAAATATGATTTATAAGCCTTTTTATTGGTTGTTAAACATGTTTAGAGGCGTTTTTATCAAGAAAAGAGAGTGCAGAATAAAGGTCTATATATCTATAGCCTGCACTAACAGGATATCCTTTTCTGGTCGAGTCTTCGTGGCCTCTTGTGGAACGCTCAGTCTATAGTCCTTATTCTGAACTCTCTTTTATCGATAAAAGCGCCTCTGAATGTCACTTCGAAGTTTTCTGATTGACTTGTAAGCGCATTTCGAGACCTTTTATCGGTAAAAGAGAGTCCAGAATAAGGGTCTAAATATACAAGTCTATGAGTGGCTAACAAAGGCTCGTTCTCGTCTTGCGAATGCAGCAGCAACACCAGAAGCGGATACATACATACGAACGGACTCTGATCTATTTGACATCCGTTTGATGTTATTAATAAAAAGATAAACGTCGCAACGCGCGATGCAACGTGATATTTTTAGATGAGGTCGCCAAAAATGTTGATCGACTCCTTTTCAGAAGAACCGTGTTACATTTTATGTGTTACATAAAATGACAAGGCACACGTACGTACACACACATCTTACAGCCAGCAGATGAGCCGGGAAGCGATAGAGTAACGCGCGTTGCATTACGTGATCGATACGTCGCGAGTCCTTCGAGACTCCAACTCATATCCGGTAAATTGAATATCGGACGCGAGGACGCCAGCCGTACGGTCTCAAGACGATCTAAAAATCGACAGTCAAGGTCGCACGATCGCAGGGACAAATGCCTCTGGGGGTTGCACTCGAAGAATTGTGCATCGTTTTCCGAGGCTGCGCTCGATCGATCGTCGTCGGATAAATATGGCGCTTCCAGTTGCTCGCTGCACGAGATCCATTTATCTTGAAAGCAGAAGAGAGAATGCCTTGCCGCTTCCTTCGCGATCAATTTTCTCGGGTTACCTTCGGCGGGGTTGTTGAAACTCTTAGACGTGTGCGAGGAAGCAGATGTGAAAACAACACCGGTCTCTTATTCTTAGCTGCCGAACGGCAAGTTCGAAGTCTGTCAAAAACGGCGAGGGACATTTCCTGGCGTTTCCTCGCAGGGCACGCTAATGCGACGATCAATGAAGCCATCGCAATGAATAACAAAGGGGTGACCCGCGACGTTACGCGCTCCGATGGAATCACGGCTATATTGTGAGCTTAACTGCAGAAGATTTAGCGAGGCCGTACGGTCAACTGCACGAATAAACCGCACGTACCGCAAAGTAGGTATGCGCATGAAATTTCTCCAGCGGAAGTCCGCGAGAAGCGAACTTGTGAATATTCAGCGGCACCTAATACCGCCAAAGGACTTCTATTTTCACTCGCTTCAATCGCAGGAAATATAAATAACTCCGCCTTGAAGACGCAGTTTCAAGGCACGTTGTTCAAGGTATCTCTGGAATATCTGCGTCTAAAACGGCGTGCATAAATATTGAAACGGAAGGCAGGTGGCGGAACATATAGCAGAAACGTAATTTTCTCCCTGTCGCCCACGTTGGCGCGTAAACTTTATCGCTGTTGTGTTCTTTTTTTTAACGTTTCGTTTGTACGGCGCGCGCGCGCGCCGGCGTTAATCGAATTTCCGCAACTACATGCGGGCTCTGTCAGTCGCTATTAAATTGCCGGTCGATGAATTTGGCCGCGGGACATTATCGGAGTGTGCGCCGCGTTTATTCATGCGTTGTATGAAAATTGCGCGGTCGTCGAAGCGGCTCTCCGAGGAATTGGGAATTTCATGAAGTTCCGTTGTTCCGCCGCATCGCCGACACGTCACGCACACAACGTCGTTTGCCACTTTCGTGCCAGCGTTGATTAATTCAGGCTCGGCTCTGACAAATGTCGTGCATCTGTGTGCCGTTATACTCGCGTGTATGTGGCCGGGTCGACATTCAAGGGTCGACCGTGATTAAAGTAATCGACCGGGGAATTAAATGAGCGAAGAGAGATATAATTTTGCAACGGGCCAAGAGGGAACCCGGCGGCAACACGTGCGTGCACATTAATGGCACAAT